AACATCTCGATACGATCATTTTTGACGAAGTTACATTCTCTTGAATTTTGCCTATTTTTGGAGGGTAGAGTAAGTGATGCTTTAATTTTGTTGAGAAGTGTATATAAATATAAATACTGTCTTAAGATAGCTTTGTATACTATTCAATATAAATGCATTATACAAAAATTATTAGAAATTGTTAAATGCACATCGAATAAATGACAAATTAATCACTACAATAATTAACAATGAAGTCAAGTAACTTTAAAGTTATATTGACATTTATGTTAATATTTAAGTAACGTTTGCTGAACACGCTTGAATTCATCGTTTTTCTTCCAATTTTTAAATAACTAACACAATATATTTCTCTATACACATTAGGCATTTTAGGTACAAGTATGTATATCAAAGTTTTGTTTTTAAATAGTTGCAATTGTACTAACGCAGACTGGCTTAGTTCATTAAGAACATGTCTGTGTGATATGGTTCGCTTTCGAATGGTCCGTGGAGTCTGACGCAGTTGAAAGTGCGTTACGTGTAAGGCTCTAAATATAATACATCTCAAAAATTATTGCGAAAGTATTCGGCAGTAAGAGTAATAAAGTTACAATCCTGCGACTTGTGTTAACATATTTACACCGAGAATCGATTCCGATGAGCTTGTACTTCAACTTGAATTCTTTGCGATAAATTTTTACAAATTAAATCATTACACACACACACACACACACACACACACACAGAATCGAAAAGTTTCCGGACAATACCTATATCTACCATTTGATATACCATGAGGTCAAATACTGCTGAAGAGAAACACACAAGAAGCCTCAAGAAGAAGCGAGAAGTACAGGTATAGATATTGTCCGGAAACTTTTCGACGGCAGTGTGTATATAAAATATATGCACACTGCCGTTTATATATATATATATGTATGTATAAACTACATGCGTAAAGTATCATAAAATGCGATTTGTTTGCTAAAGTATTTAGTTATGAATGTATCATGTGACGCATTACAAGAGAAAACGCGTTGATATTGGTTTTGTAATAATATACACTTTGAATAAACATATACATATAAAATCGCAAAGTTACACGCCAATCTACTGAATGGAAGGAGTTTGAGTGCACAGAATGCATCAAGTGATGAATACAAGTAGAGGCAACGCAACTTTTTTTGAAATAGAACTTTCATATAATTCGATGTATCAGATTCATCAAAAACACGGACAGTCTCAATACATAAAAAAATTCAAAATTCAACACTTCTTACATGCTATAGATGATAATGCATTGAGACGCATATTCTATGATAAATTACGATATACGCATCGCACAGTTATTATAGAATAGAGAAGATTAAAAGCACTGACATAATAATATAAAAATCGATAAAAACACACGATATTACACATAAATAATATAATTACTTAGTTTTTACTAATTTATTATTTAGGCCATGCCCGCGAAATTATTTCGCATATTTGCACATTCGTGAGCGCATGAGTTCCAGAAATGGATTCTTCTGAGACAAAAATCGCAAGAAACCTGCAAAGTTTCTCACGATCGTATATGTATGCCACAAGGTGGTCGTTAAAAATTGTAACTATTATTGCAAGAAATTTCTCCTGTTCTAAGATCCTATATATATATATTTTTTTAAATCTAATTGGCCACTTTCCTTTAATGCTGGATGTACACAGGGGCGCAGCAATGCTTGCCGCGCGGAAGTTGGCATGGCAAGGGAAAAGTGGTTTTCCTATCCTGAGATCTATCCACATTTCACTAAAAATTACTATTAGCTCCTACATGCAGAACGCCGCGGCAACTTCCATCACGCGGGATAGTTGAATTCCATCGAACCTGTGGCGGAAATTATATATATATTTATTTCTGGGCAAGCCAGACATTGATTGGATACCGCGGTATTCCCTGACCAATTTCCACCGCGCGACAAACGTTGCCGCGTCCTGTATGCATCCAGTATAAAATTCTCCTTTTCAGCAGAATTGGAAAAATTACTTTGTAAAAGTAACTAATTACAGTTACAGTTTTTTGTTTAAAAAAAAAGTAACGAGTCATTACTTTTCAGTTTTCTATTATCATAATAAAACAACATGGATAACATTGATACCATTAGATTATCAGAAAAAGACTTCCTGGTTTACGTTTAAACAAATGCTTCAAAATATTTGTAACATAAAGTGGACCGTAGCCTATATTAACAAATAAGTTTGAAAATATATAAATTATGAAAATAACTACTAAATTAATTACCAAAAAAATATGACTAAGTTACAGTTATAGATAGAAAAAAAAGTAACGAAATTAGGTTACAATTACTGAAAAAAATAACTCTAACTGTAACTTCGTTACAAGTAACAAGTTACTTCCCAATTCTGTTTTTCAGAAAGTACTTCTCTCTTATTTATCACGTATAAACATGACCATTTCATTAGAAATAACATTAAACATGATGAGAACTGAACACTAATATTACATTAAAGAAAATGTATTGAGCTTCCATTGATCTTGAAATAGAGATAATCATCTACTCTTATAATCAGTAAGAAGATTCAAAAAGATTCTATGCGACGCTGATAATAAAATAATAAATTTACACGAAAAATTAATACAATATCCGAGTGCTAAGAACATGGTCATAAAACTGATAATCCGATAAGGATTATTTTACGAATTGCAAACTGATTTTTCGAGAGCTAGCGAATAATGCATATTTTCCTATTTGATATTCAGTTTAACACATAGTTTCAGAAGCGGGGGCAGGTACAGTACTAAGATTCTTGTCGCTTGGGTCGGTCGCCTCCGAGTCACGTATCGGTGGTCGCGCGAGCGTTTGTTCAATCTCATGAGTGACGCTGATCATCGGCGATGGCCGACGAGGGTCCTCTTCGATCGCGGAGGCGCGACGCAGTTGACGGTGCTCGCTGGCTACGTTAAAGAAGCATGTAATACCATCAGCCTCATCTGCATGCGCGTTTGACGGCCCATCGCGGTCGTTCTCGTCGACGTCGTCATCGCCGTGATAACGTCGCTGAATCAGATCCTCCATCTGCTGATAATCGCATTCCTCCGCGTCACGCAGATGCTCGTTCTCGATCTGCCACGCCATCTCGGGGTTCAACATGTCCGAGATGTTACGCATTCGCGACGGCGGCGGTGAGATCGGCGGCGTTCTCGGCGGGCTCAACAGACCACAATAACTCTCAAGCTCATCCGTGATGCTAGTGTACTCGGCGCGCATTGTCAGCAAAATCGATCTCTGCGTGCTGCCGGCCGAGGTAACAGACGACGGAATCACGGCCACGCGAGGCTCTGCCCAAGTCACGGCTCTCTGAATACCGGGCGGTTGAAGCAGCATGAAATCATCTGATTCCGATCGAGTTCTGCTGTTCTGCCTAAATGTAGCACGCTCCGCGGAGTCTTGCCTGAGTGTACGCTCTGTTGAGTCCTGCCTGGTGTCCGATGGCGGATTCTCGCTGCTGGCCTCTTTGCTAGCCTCTCTGCTGGTCTCCCTACTGACTTCTCTGCTGGTAGCTTCCATGCTAATTTCTCTGCTCATTTCTCTGCTCACTTCTCTACTCGTATCTCGGCTCATCTCTTTCTCGGATGATACTTCTTTCTTGCTGACCGCTTCGCCTTCGAGGATATCTTTGCTGCCATCCGTTTCCACGCTCGTAGTTGTCTTAACGTCATCCTGGCCGACGTGAGCGTCAACGCTTACGGAAGAATCGTGTCTACTGAGATTTTCACGAGAAGTCATAGCTTCGGATATCTTAAGAATATCGTCTATCGGTTGACCAACATTTAGGAAAGTACCGTCAGTGAGAGAGCGCAGAAGCTTTTTGCGCCGTGCGATCGTCGGCAGCTGCGTGTGAGAATCCGTCTCGGACAAAGCCTCCGATCTTTCCGACACCCGACGCTGCCGAATGTTGTCAAAAGTTTCTAGACTGGCTAATTCTTCATTTGGCATGTACGTCGCCATGAAACGATGAATCACCCCGAGATGCGCTAAAGTTTGTTGACTCAATTCCTCCAACTTGCGAATACGAAACTCAACAGCCTGAAAATAGTGTCAATATGTATTTAAAAATATTAAAAAGAAAAATGCAAGACTCTAGAAATGTATAGTATTCATTAAGAAAAATCAAAATGTTCAATCGGAGAAAAATTGATCATAGATAAAAATGATTCTTCGAGTTTGACAATAATACTCGTTAGCATCTTGGAATTATCTCGTGTATCATGGAATTATCTTGCGTAAATCAATTACCCTTATCGAATATATAAATACACTATAAAAGTAAGATTATCGAAAAGAGAATATTTTGTAAGCTTCTGATATATTCTGCATATAATTATCTGTATTATCAAAACTGAATATTGTTTCTATTTTAAAATTAATTTTTCTACATTATTTTTTATTTCTTTCAATAAGTATAATAGATTCTTAAAAGTTTTTTCTTTTAATATTCCATGTAAGTGCATAATAGAAAATAGAAAATATCTAAATGATATAGACAATAAGACATAATTATTACTACCTTGAACTATTGCTATCTTGAAACTATGAGAGCAAAAGTATTATTACATTTATCCGTTTTCTGTCGTACGACAAATTTTTCAAGTTTGTTAGCTATAGGATAAAAAGATCCAAGAACTCTTCTCTGCCCAATTAACACGCTTAAAAAATTTGTCGTACGACAGAAAGCGGAAAAATATAATAGTAACTCTAAGAGAATGAATTTATCTAACATAAATTACACAGTATAGAAATAATTGCCTTATAATGGTAACGCTTTTTTTACAGTTGGAATAGCTTTGAATATCTGAAAGTTACCTTTTGCTTTTTTTAATAGAAAATATTCTTTTTTGTATAATATCCTATATAATAAAGTATAATTTAGTATAAAAGTTACAAAAATATACTTACTAAACAAATATACTTAAAACTTAAGTGCAAAACAGACCAATGAGAGTCACGAGCGGTTCTTAGTGTCCAAAGTTTTTGTGTTATAACATTAAGTTACATTAATAATATACGGTATGTCGAAACGTTCGTATACTGTATATTATTAATGTAACTTAATGTTATAATACAAAAACTTTGAGCACCAAGAACCGCTCGTGACTCTCATTGGCCTGTTTTGCGCTTAAGTTTTAAATATCGAGAGTCCTATTATTAATTTTAATTTAAATATACTTAAAGATATGTACATGTATATTGCAATTGCATAAATTTTTTGAAAAGCAACTATACGTTTTCTTTATACTAATTGATTCATCGTATTATTCTAGGCATAAAAATATTAAGATACGATTATTAAACAATTAATTGTTTACAAGTATTAAACAATCAATTGTTTACAAATATTTTATATTTTATGTCAAAATATGTCAAAATGAAGCATAAAATTTCATGAACTGTTTAGATTTTGTAACATTACTTTAAAATGCTTTTATATGCAGAATTAAAAAAAAAATTCTATTTAAAAAAATTACAATAATCTTGAAATCCAGATTATCCAGAAAAATATGATCTTGAAAAGAATTATTTATTTTTCGTAATATCATATATTTGTTCCTTCCAAACAAATAATGTTTTACTGTGATTTTTATCATCAAAAAGTGAGATATTTGAGGTGCTCAAATTAGGTAAGATGCTCTGTATAAGTTATGTACCTGAAGAGACACGTTTTGATTGCTCTCTTTCTTATCGATATCCTCAATTTTTTGATGCATGTTCTCCACCCGATCTGTTGTAATTTTCACGCGTTCCTCTGTGGACATTTGTAACTTGAGTTCCTGCTCACGGAAATATCCTTCGACGCAATCCTCCTCAAAGTCATACAATCGTTCCAGGTCATCAGCCTCCAGAAATAATTTCAGCCCGTTGTCACAAGTCTCGCCAGTGCTGCTTTTACCTTGCGTAATATGCCTCAGAAAATATTTCAGCAGTAAATATATGTGGCAAATCGCTATAAGCGGTGGCGGCAACACTGGTTTCTGCTCATATTCCATAACGACGGTAAACCGTTGAAACATCCAGACTTGATGAGCTATAGCATTTACCTCATTGAAAATATTGTTAAATACCGCAATTAACAGATTTATCAGCAAAATATTGGCAATTAAAAGATACACGGACATTGCAGCAGGCATGATCCAACGACCCGGAAGACACTGTACCATTCCCGGCTCATCCCCGCAATCAGGATCTATATTATCCGCGTATACTTCTCCATATAGCATAAAGTATGGCTCCATAAATATCTGCCAAAAGAAAGTATAATAATTATATGTGTGAACTTGGGATTAAAAAAAAATATGTATGGATTTTCTTTTTAAAGATGCGCATCAAGTAGAAAATATATACGTACATCTCGTACTATACGCCACTTTGGTTCAGAATTGGGATTCAATATAGCTTGTCTAGCTACACCGAAACTCATGAGCACAACTAATAAAAGCACAACAAAATATATCATATTTTTAACCATCTTTCCCATCATTGTCACTAAAGGACCTACAAAATATATATTACTGAATATTATATATTTATAAAATAAATTACAAGATATATTAAAAATGTGTTAGTATTTAATTGTTCGAATATTGTCTATGTACAGTCATTTTATGTGAAAAAGCAATGAAATTAAACTACTTTTAGTTTAATATTTCATACGTACCAAAATATTTGTTGACACCAAGGATGTTGAGTATTCGTAAATACCAGTATATGCAATCAACACAGTAGATAACGCGACCTACATCTAACGTTGAATGTCGCAAACGTAATGCTAGTCCGATTTGGAAAAATATAATAGCAGCAGCGTCGCAAGGGTTCCACATGTTCCATGCCCACACGCTAAACTTATGCGAAAGTGTCGCAGGTTCCGAGATTGCTATTTCTCGTACTTTTTCACATCCGAGAGTACAGATGTATGCGATCGCATATATTTCGGCTAATGACGGATGATCATCCATATGCACCAAAATGCAGTACGAGAAGAAAAGTAAAAAAATAATATATGCTATCTACAAAAAAAGTATTCTTATTGCGTTATGTTTTATTATAATCATTTATATTAATAAATATATCAAAAAACATCGACAAATATAAATACATATCATTTTATGGCTATTAAGACAATAAAGATATATATGAATATTTCTACTTACAGCATTCGCCCAAAATTTTGTTATTGGAGCAGTATAGAATTCATACAATTTCTTCCTCAATTTTAATGGTCTGGTTGTTTTGTTATTGTAATATTCAGATCGAAGACCATAAGCGCGATGTATTCCATCATCAATGTCTGTTAGTACTTTGCCATTCTCTTGGACAATCGTCTCTTTGATTATTGTACTGTGCTCGTTGCTAATTAAAGCCTATAGAAAAGAATAAATAATTTAGAATTATTCAAATAAACCGTTTGCATACTGGAAGACATTACATACATAAATTATTAATAAGTCTCTTAGTGCATGTGGTTAAATGGATATTGATATCAACTTGAAATGTTAACGACAAGGAAGAAGGAAATTTAAGTTGATACAATCATTCACGAAAAAGTAGCATGACAGATAATAGAGATATAATATTGATATAATATAAATTAGAATATTGTAAATAAAATTGAGTAGACGGGATATTAATTATCAAATGTTTATAAGACGAGAAACATTTGCACATTTTATAAGACGTGAAATTAAGAAATATGCATATTTATTCTAAAAATTTACATTAATAAGCGAAAAAAAGGATCGATCTTCAACTTATAAATATAAGCAAAATTTTTACTTTATATCTCAAATTATATATTGTATACTTGACTAATCCATTACAATATATAGTAAATAAAAGTAAAAAGGAGTGTCTTATAATGTATATACACGTATATTATAATGTATATTATAATGTATATACACGCTAGAAAAATTGTTTTCATTAGACAACGTTATATGTTGTTAAAATTATTATTAAAATTTCGTCTCAATCAAACTGTGCTAAATTTATTAAATTATTTACAAACAAATATTAGTTTCAGATATTAAAAATAACATATGTGTATAATTATTCGATTGTATTATATTATAAAAATTTTATTTGTAATAAGTAAATAGTTATTTATAAAAGATAATTAATGTTTCTTTAGTATAATATTAAGATTCACAAGTTTAATTCATATGTTTAATTAACTATTTAATCAATTAATTGTGTATAATATACATATATGTATACATAATGATAATTATAAGCTAAAAAGATTTTTTAAAAGGAGTACATTTTATTTTACGGAGTACGATTTTATTATTTTGTAGAATAAATGTTGCAGGATGTACACGAAGCAACTACTGTAATTATGAAATATGATTGATGAGAATTAAAAATAAATAAACAAATAGTAGCTTAAAATAGTGCATCAAAGAATATGATTATTGTTATAGGATCACTGCGTTCAGACCAAGTAGATACCTTAACGCCTTGTTGGCTGCTGGATTTGTTGCGTATGCTCAGGCTCCTGCGCAGATGTTTCTAAAAAATAATTAATAGGCATACCCACATAGTCTATATGTTACAAATAGTTGAATGTACCCTTAAGAGAGAGCAATTAATTTTTGAGATTATACATATTTATTAAAAATATATCCCTCAAGCAATTATGATATGGTGCAACATATTAATAGCGCAAATATTAGAAAATGTAAGCAAAAGAAAAAACCAAAGATAAGATTATATTGTTTTAATCATAAGGATGAAATAATGTATTGTATAATTTTAGTAAAATAAAAGATATAAGCCACATGTGACAGAGATGACATATTAATATTAGACTGCGCTGTTGGATGTTGTTCAAATGTTGTTTAATCACTTCGAAGTTACAGTAACTACACATATGTTAAATACATTCACATATATAGACATAATTTTGAGACAAAAACTTCTCTCTCAACGCAAACAACCATATAATTTTATTACATCTGTTATTTACGCAAGTTTTACAAATAAAAATTTGTTAATGTCTTACACCCAATATATGTATTTATTGCATTTGATATTTATAGAATTTGTAATAATTTCAATTAAATGTAATAAACATATGAAATTATATTGTTTTACAATAATCTCATATGGTTAATATAATTTATTTTACAATTTTATATATTTGTAAGTTGTTAGTAAGTTACTGCAATATTTTTCATACAAAATTTTGAGTAATCAGGACATAGCCAATTAAAGAGTATCTGAAATTCTTCAACAAATAATCATATTGTATATCATACTGTTGTTTTTAAGATGCAAAATAATTACCTCGACATCTGGTCCTGCCGGTACACTGTTTTCGGAATCGCTATCTTCCTTCTCATCTTCCAGCGCTATCAGATGCTCTTCCTGCGTCTGGGGCATCAGTTGTAATTCTTCTCTGCTTTTAAATTCCAATCGCGTTATATACAGAGGGCAAAATAACCCCATAACTACCTAAAAATAATTTTAATACACACATATTTTAAATATATTAAATTTGATTAATCAACAGAAATCAGATTAATTATAACAGATCATAATCAATTACCTTTAAATTGGTATTTTTACGTGTACGAAGGCCACCCATCCATAAGTCAGCCAAGATAATTTGACTGCAAGGATGCGCCAATAGCGGCCGATGGTTCGCTGTAACCGCAAGTGATAGGCATGTCTGCCCTGACCAATTTTGAAGTTCCGAAGTTAACAGCTGCTGCGTCTGATCGTCGTCTTGTCGGTAGCAATAGTCCAATAATTCGAGTGCTATATGAAAAATCATACAATTTACAGTTAATGTTATGTAACAACGGTTTCATATCTAAGACAATTCATTTCGTATTTATGCATACCGATGTTTTCAAATTCTTTGCCATAACCACGCAATTCGTCGTAAACTTCAGTTTCCAAATCATCTTCGGCCGCCTCGTATGCCGTCGCTTTGTATAGTTTTAACGCGACGAGCGCCTTGGCTAATGCCTCTTCTCCGTGTTGCCACATCAGCAAAGCCATTTGTTGACGCTTCGTTAACACAGCCCAAATAAGTAACTCGTTGAAAGGATAATCGAAGAGAGGAGTATCACGATTAGCCGGTAACGTCTCGGCGAGGAGGCTCATGGTCAAACTGTCGGACTTCCCGCCGGATCCCGTGTAATAGCGCGTATTACAATTCGGAGCGCAGCTATTTCGGTGCATATGCTGCTGATGACCACCGCCAGATCTCTTCATCACCTTCGTATAGATCATTCGAAATCTTCGCCGCGTATATTGTGCGCGATACGCTCCACCCATCAGTTTATTAATCACGAGGCCGATGTCATGCAATGTATACATGTAACCCCGTGGAATATTCGGTCGTACATCACGCAAAATATAACCCAATGTGTTCGATGGACCTTCTTTCTGATTAATCCGAGAAGAAAAAAAAAAGAAATATATTGTCGTGTATTCTATGTATGTTCGAAAATTACAATAATCCAGTTTCTTAATAACAAAAGACATATCACAACTGTCCGGAATCGATTTAATTCCTTCATGAAACATTTGTGTTGTTAAACACAAAAATCTAAGAAAAACATATCCATTTTGAGGCAAGGGATAAAACGGTCCTTTAAAAATTTATATTAGATTCTAACAATTCAATCATCAAACTTGTAAGATATATTTTTAAAATGTAGGCAAAATTTCTATGATTTTTCATATTTATATTCTATTATGTATTTAGATTTTTCAAAAAAATCTAATATTTTTTTCAAAATCCGCCGATTATTTTATACGAGTATATCCATTATTATTTTTTGTGAAATTATACTATTCTATGAAAAAAAAATTGAACACAATTTTATCTTTTTACTCATATATAAGAAATTCTTTTATAAAACTGCCTTTTTGAAAGATAAATTAAGAAATCATTATATGCAGCATATATATATATATTTTTTATATAGTGCAATACGATTCATTTCTAGCAGTAGAAATTATAAATAACAATAAGAATAATAATAATAGTTTTTATTTCTCTTTAGAGAATTAAAAAGAAACTTTCGTTTCTCTATTTATTTTACATTATATCAAACACAGATTTCGTTATATTCCTTATAATATTCCTTATAATAATCTTAGGTTCTCTTATTTTCGTATCATAATTTTATATAATTTGATATAAAAAATAAATTTTAGATATAATGATACAATGTAATGCAGATAAAGTATAAGCGTACAGTAACAAAGATTTTGGTAACTCTAAGATAAAAAAAATAAAGATTATTGTTATTTTAACTATTATTTATAATCTATAATGTCAGAAATGTCAATTGGGAGGCACAAAAAAGTGCTGCATGGAAACAATGTATATAGTAATATTTCTAAAAAATGAAATTTTATAAAACAATTTATCATATACGAGTAAAGATGGCAAAATTTATTTTTAAATTTAATTTTCTTTCATATAAATATAATTTTATAAAAATAATAAAAATAACGGTATTTTGAAAAATATTAGATCCTTGGAAAATCTAGATCCATAATTGTAAAATATGTGAAAAAGTATTGAAAGTTTTGTCTAAAATTTTTTTATATATCGTAACAATTTCGATGATTGCTTATAATCAAATATAAATGTTATTTTTGATGGAATGTTTTATTTAAATCTCAAAATATAGGCAAATATAAAAAATATATCTTTTATATTTTCGTGCTTAACAGTTAACAATATATTTCAAGGAGAACTAAATTGATTCCTGATTCCTGAGTTGTGACATATTCCTTGCAAGTGATTTGTTTCTTTGTATTAAAAGAAGCACACGTGCGCGCGCGCGCTTTACATCACACTCATTTAAATTGTTTACTAAGAAAACTTGTCTTTACAAAAATAAAGTTGACCTACCGTATTATACAGCTCCTCAAGGCGAGGTATTGATAAAAATTTCCGCATGGATACTCCATTTTCCAGTAGAAGTTTCACAAAGTCTATTCTATCGTGCTGAAGTGCTTGCATCATAGCTTGTTCTAAAGCACCAGATGGCCATTTTTGACCATAGACGAAGATTTCACTTCGAGCGATATCCACACGATTCCATATTAAAGAAAGGGACAACTGTTCAGCCGGGGATAATTGTTTCGATTTAAATAAAGCTGTCAATATTGTTTGATCAAGTTCTTGCGGCCTGTCTTGCGATATTCTAAACACAGTAATCTATAAAAATATAAATTTTATTTAGAAAATTTTCAGTCTAACATTTACATCACACATAAAGCCAAATATTTCTAATAGAAAATGTAAATACCAAATGTTTTTTTCGTGTACACTGCAAGAGTTCTGAACAGAGTTGGGTTGCTTGTTCCGCGGAAACTTGAAAAGTGCGTTTAATAGTTTCTAAAACTTGTTCTTTAACACCTTCTAGTGGTCCTTCTCCATCACCAGTCTGTCCGTCTCTCCATCTACAGAAAAAGCATACGTATATACATGCATGATTATATATTTTTTAAAAATATACATGAATAATATATAAGTTAGTCATTACTTGTGCATAAAAGCGATTAGATCAGCTGCACGTCCCGAACCATCACAAACTACTACGGGTACAGGTGGATCATCCGTCACATACTCCAAAACCGCGCGGATTGTATTTGTTCCACCTTCGATAACTAATGCGACTACTGGTATGCTACTATGTGTGTCTGAAAGAAAGCATTGGTAAATCAGAGCGCCTTGAATTATAAAATTTCAATTCATATAAATCATTGTAATGCTTACATGGTTGCAATTTTAGATTTGAGATGTATTTTTCTAATCTTCTGCGAAGAACAATCTCCGCTCCGTATCGACCACCAGTACCGTTATCTACTAGTAAAAAGTAAGCATGCCGGTTGTTTAATACTGTATATTTAGTCCTGTAAATTCATATACAAATAAAACTACAAAATCACAAACACATAAATATATACTTTACAAAATCTCATAATCTTTTAATAATATCTTTGCATTGTAAATATGCAGTCTTACCATGGTGAGGAAACACAATCATATGATACTTCTCCACCACGACCAACTAATTCGTGACTTTTATCCAAAATTCCCCAAGGAGCAATACCTATGCTTACTACGCGACCCTGTCGTTGAGAACGTTCTAATAATAATGCATCACCGACTTGTCGTGTAACACCTACAAGAATTAAATATACAAAATATTGAAATTTATTGAAGCTGTATGTTAGTAGATATCAGTTTCATAAATAAAAATATACCTGTATTTGTTCCTCCTGTAAATATCCACGCCCCTGTTGTTTTAGCGGCTTTCAATAAGCCTTTACGTAAAACTTTTTTCAGACTCGCTTGAAGCTCGAAATTGGACCGTCCACCGTGTACTGTAATTAACAATTTGGGCAATCCTAAATTCCATTCCCGACATAACAGTTGTACAATCGGTTCTGGTCGTGTATCATGAGCCAATCTTACATACTAGAAATAATATGCAACGTCATTTCCTCACTTATAAACATAATAATTATTACAAGAATATTATAATAATATTAATAATGTAAAAAGTGTTGAATATATACTTGTGCTTTTGTAGGATGCGGACCACCCTGAAATTCTATGGTGCCATATGCATCAGTGGGAAAGGGATGAGTATTTTTTCCCGGAGACCATTGTTCACGATCTTTTTCCTTGTTCTCACTAAGATTGTAACTTTGAACATCTGCCCCAGTTCCGCAATGATGAGTGTATGAATAACCACAGCAACATCTATAATATAATATAATATATTATATCATATATAAATATGTATTTATGTTAATTATATTTTTATATACTTAACTTTTTATATATTACTTTTATATCTCGTTTATACATATACTCGTTATGCGTATGCTATAAAGCATGAAATTTTTGAGTTTATACATCATATACATATATATTGCTATTATATATGCATACAATAGTAATAATTAATTTTATTACTTATGTATAAAAAATAGTAATATTTAATTGCATAATATAATATGCAAATATAAAATATATTTTGTAATAAATGTAAAAAAGAATTAGAAGACAAATGCCATGAAAAAAATTGTTAATGTAATTTAATTATAAAAGTTGATTAAACATGAATTAAGTTCATGTAATGAGATAGGCATGAAATGATGATTAAATATAAATAAAATTTATGTATAAGATATGATGTAATGAGATATAGGTATAAAGCATACAGAAATTTGGAAAAAATGTAAATATCTATATCTAAAAAATTTGCTACAACAAAATTATTGTTTTAATATATAACATTACTATCAAAATTATAAAAGAAAAAAAATTATCAGCCAATGCAAGATGCATATGAGTTTCTCACCTGGAAGTAGTAATCACATCATATTCTGCATTCTTATCTCCCTCTATTTGTACAAACCTATAAATGGAATGAAACAAAAAAAAGTAAATCAAATCAATGAATGGATGAATAAAAAATGCAAATTATAAATAATTTGATTTGTTATTAAAATACATCAAAACAGAAATCATAATTCATGGTATATATAATGATATATACACATATATATATATATATATATATATATATATATGTATATTATGTTGTTATATGACAGTTGATTTAAATGACAAAATGCAAAAAGAAGAGATTAATCGATGAGAAACAATAAATTTGTATGTCCATCTTAAATATTAATTATTGATAAGTCACATACTTTATAGCACACGCTGCATTTTGTTGATATAAAATGAAATATCAAGAATCTTTTATTACATAATAAAATAAAAATGTTAATTATATTGTAACAGCAGAAAATTTTACACAATGCAAAATTTTATATAGAATTTTTAACATTGTAAATTTTTTTTAACATTATATACGCATATAATATACAGAGTATAGCTTAAAGTTATAAGACATTCTATCTTATTCCTTGTAAAAAATTGAGTCGAAAAGTCTTGAACTATTTTTTTTCTACAATATTCAATAAAGCAATGATTATTGTAGTATATTTCTTTAATGATAAGGAACAACACTATATTTACACTTAGTACTTGCTATTTAAGATCACACTCTGTATATACATTACACATATCATAGCTATTTCATATAGCAGTCCTACCTGTGTTCATCTTCACTGCTTGGAATAAACTTTGCACATTCTCTCTTTTGAAATGTTGCCTCTATCCAACTACGCTCAGTTGTCTACAATTTGAAAAATATAAATAAGACACAATCACACAGTTACAATCAGGAAAGGAGCGTAATGTTCAAAATATATTAAAAATCTTTATATAATGTAATCTCTTACTGTTATTATTGTATACAAGATGTTCATAAAAAAGCATTCACCATTTATATGATAGATAGTACATACCATATTGAATAAAAAACAACAAACAATCAACATCAATAAATAAGTAATAGTTTCATAAGTTAAAAACTCAATTGTTTCTGAAATATAAATAATTTCATA